CTCAAACCGGCCGCCATAGCAACCAAGACGGGGGGGGCGAAGGTCGCTATTCCGGAAGCGCGCTTGAACGGAAGTGACGAAGGGGAGCAGCTGACTCGGCGCAGCTACGTACGGTTAGCCTAAAGGCGTCGCGAGACCAAGAAGGAGGCGGGGAGAGAGAATGGAGCGCTTATGCGAGATCTGGCGAAGGAGGAGTTGTTGCTTTACGTGCGGGATTTGAACCATTGCAGGATTTCGTGATGCTGGATACTGTTCCCCAGCCAAAGATTCCCTTGTATTAACAGACTGCATACAAATAGGCCTAAAATTGTCCATATGGGCGGTGGATGCTCTTAAAACAAAAAGGAGGCTTGTGGCACTTTTAAAGGCGAAGGAGGAGTTGTTGCTTTACGTGCGGGACTTGAACCATTGCAGGATTTCGTGATGCTGGATACTGTTCCCCAGCCAAAGATTCCCTTGTATTAACAGACTGCATACAAATAGGCCTAAAATTGTCCATATGGGCGGTGGATGCTCTCAAAACAAATAGGAGGCTTGTGGCACTTTTAAAGACAAACGGTTGTTTTCGTTTGCAGCCCCCGTTTTATTATTATTATTATTTATTTATTTTATTTATATCCCGCCTATCTAGTCAATTAAGACCACTCTAGGCGGCTTCTAACAGAGGAAGCTGGCATGGACATCTAGCCCATGATAATTTTTTTAGTGGTCTAGTAAAGGTGCCCCGGCCTTGGATTGTCAGTGAGGATTAAACGACTTTTTGTTTTTTTCAGTGTGAGCATTTGCCGATTGTATTGTAATAAAGAAAAAATCACTGAATTTGAAATAAATCTTAAAAGTGCCACAAGTATTTTGTTTCTGTTACACTGTGACAGAAGCTGATACAGCTACTTGTTTGAAAAAATATATATCCTTAAAAATTGATTCTTACTTTCCCTTGTAGCCTGGCATATTAGCTTTATTCCTTAATTTGTTAGTCTTAAATGTTAAAAATCAAAAGTTAATTTGTTTCAATTTCTATTAATGTTACCAACACATTAAATTTTTAGTTCTAAGGGAAGATCTAATGGTTAATTTACCATAGACCTATACCGGTAGGTTTATCATTTGTACTTCAAAAGTCTCAGACTAAAAGCAAAAATATCTAAATAGGCTAGGAAACTTTGCATATACCAGAAAAAGAAAAGATTCACACAAAAAGACATTAATATTAGGAAAATTGAAAGATGTAGGGAAAGAAATACCAGGAGATCCATTGATTCAATAATGATGGCCATGGCCTAGTTTGCAGGAACTAAGCAGAGTTGTTTAATGACAGAACTTCTTAAAGGCCATTAATTCATAGGGTTATTATAAGTTGGAAATAACCTGATGGCACCTAAAATCACTTAAAATGTGCTCTCCTTGTTTCAGAAGTACTGTGACGTACACCCCGTGTCCTTTGTTTATTTTGCCTTAAACACAAGTCCACCCTCTGGGTGTGTGTCCTCGCTTCACGCTGCCACCAGGTATTATTCCCTTAATACCAAATAGATCTTAGACACGTGCTGCCAATTCAACAGATTTATTTTACAGATGTCATGCAAATCACAGGAGTAAATCACATGTTTAGACTCATTCATTAAATATCATTTGCTTTCACATTGGGTTTGTTTTTATTCACTGTTATATTTTTTGACTATATATATATTCATAGGCATCCTTCAGTCTCGAGAGACTATGGTATCGTGCTCTGCATCGAGGACTTGGAACAGCGTTTAGTGTGGCTGAGAAGGCCAATTCGAGAATGACAATCCCTTCCACACTTAGGACAAGTACAGTCTGTACCCCATCTAGCTCCCTGATTTCTCTCTACTTTTAAACTCTTTCTTATTCTCTCTAGCATTCTCTCTTAACTTTCCCAATACAATCTCCTAACTCTCTTCAATTCCCTATCTGCAAGCTCTTTTCTCCAACTCTCCTCCCTGTCTAATTGTCTAACTCTTCAATTGTCCTCTTGGTTCCGCCCCTCCTGTCCTCTCATAGGCTCTTGCCCTTGAGTTTCCCATGATGGACAGGCGTGACGGGGTTCCGCCACAATTACTTTTCCTTATTTTATAATCCACCCATCCACTCCCAAGATATATGCCAAATCCTTTGTGGCAGTTGCTGCCACAGGATTATTGGGGCACAAAACATCTGAAAACAGGAAGTGTCTGAAACATGGAATCTTATTTCTTCACCCCTAAGAAGAGAGACATCCGTGCACCGCCCACAACAGCAGCTGTATAAAAAGCCAGTTTTAAAAAAACCAGACATTTCCAGATATACTTTTAAAAGTGTGTAATGCTATAAGGTGCTTTTACAATATAGTTTTGATTAGAGCCTTACAGTTTCTGAGTTCAGGCCAGTCCCCTCCCCAACTGGAAAAAAACAATTCTTGAAAAACTTTATTCAGAGCATCTGGAGCAAAATCTGCAGCATCTGTGGAAGATAAAGCTAGGATGAGTTGTTTTAATCATCCCCTAAATTATACAGTGGTGCCTCGCTTAACGATGTTAATTGGTTCCATTAAAAAAATCGTTATGTGAAAACATCGTTAAGTGAAACACCATTTACCATAGGAATGCATTGAAAACCGGTTAATCCGTTCCAGTTGGAACGGATTAATGCTTGCAATCATTAGCCCACCTCCTGAAACCTATGCAAACTTAATTTGGTGTTGTTCTGAGTCATCAGAACAACACCAAATTAAGTATACATAGGGTTGAGGAGGCGGGCTAACGATTGCAAGCATTTAAAACAGGTTCCAAACATTGTAAGACACTTAAAAATGAGCGAAAACGGACATCGGAAAGGACTTCAAAAGCACTGAAGCCGGCTTCGGTGCTTTTGAAGCTCTTCCGCTTTCGCTCATTTTTACGTGTCTTACAATGTTTGGAACATGTTTTAAATGCTTGCAATCGTTAGCTCACCTCCTGAACCCTATGCAAACTTAATTTGGTGTTGTTCTGAGTCGTTGTTAATTTTTGGTGATTTTTTAAATTCTCCATTGAAAGCCTTTGAATGGTCGATTCAAAGACTTTCAATGGAGAATAAAAAAAATCACCAAAAATTAACGACGACTCAGAACAACACCAAATTAAGTTTGCATAGGGTTCAGGAGGTGAGCTAACGATTGCAAGCATTTAAAACAGGTTTCTAACAGTTTAAGACACTTTTACAGGAGCGAAAAAGGGACATCGTTAAGTGAAATTCCCCCATAGAGAACATCGTTAAACGATGGGGGAAATTCCTCAAAGAAACCCATCGCTGTGTGAATTCATCGTTGTATGAAGCAATCATTGTGCGAGGCACCACTGTACTTCCAATTAGTTATGCTGTAGCAAGAATAGATAAAATAGGACAAATTTCCAAGTTTACAGTTTAATACAAGAACAGAGTACTTCAATTCTTTTCAAGACAAACATTAAGCTGTTCAACTGAGGCTTGTATGGCAAGGATTTCATACTTTTTCTGCAACCTACTGCATATTTGAACTTATAAGTAAATGTAAACATCTTTATGAGTAATCTGGTGAAGATTATATTGTTTTGCCTGGAAAGTCATATTGTTACATTTTTGAAGTGTTACGTCTTATTTTGCTTAATTTTGTAATAGACTTTATATTTTGGTTGTTGGCAACTCTCCTGACAAGCCAGCAGAAAACATGAGGGAGACAGGTAGTCACAGGGCTGCCTGACTCACCTAAGTGGCTATAGTGGCTGAGGGAAAAGTGCAGTTTCAATAAACAAGTGATGCAAACATAAGATATGTAACTAATGTTGTTATTGGTACTCTAAAGTGTGAAAAGTCTGGTAAAGTATTTCTTCTAACATGTGAGACTCTTAAAAAACTAAACAATTCCGTTACTGCTATGTTCTTCAATGGTTCTATGAAACTACTCTGGCCAAATAGTGTCAAAGGGGGGAAATATCCTGCTCTTTGCAACTGATGACTGAGGCAGCCAAGGGACATAAACTTCTTTATCCAAAAATTATCCATATCACATGCCTTGCACATGTTTTAGACAGTGGCCAAATATATTTGAATCCCAATGCAGATAATTTCAAATGGGAAAAATTGTTAAAGCTCCACTTTGAGAACAAAAGTTCAAAGAAATTGATCGTACTTTGGCTCTTCCTTCCCAAGATCTTGTAATGTGTTGGGGGACTTGACTGGATGTGGCTATGTATTGTTCCACAAATTATAATTCCTTGCAGCAGATAGTTAAAGAATTGGTTACAAACCTTCCTGTATCTGTGCAAGATTCCTTTTCTGAAACCTTGGCTAGAAACATGGCATATATAAAATTTAACTTCAATGGTTTATCAAGAGCAATCACTCGCCTTGAAACTGTAGGAATGTTGCTAAATGATGCACTGAAAATTGTGGAAAAAAACAGTGATTCAAAATGAGCAAAAGGGAAAGTGGTAGAAAACAAGTGATAAATTGCGAAGAGTGCTGCAATCTAATCTAATCTGGGTTATTCAATACTTCACAAAATAGAATAGAATAACTTTTATTTAAAAGGTCTTCAGATTATTTCAAATACACCGTACACAATACAGTGGGGTCTCGACTTACGAACGGCTCGACATACGAATGTTTCGACTTACGAACTGCTCTCATAGGAATATATGGACTCGACTTACGAACTTAGATTCGAGTTACGAACTCTTTTCCCCCCTTTTTTTTTTAAAGCTAAGTCATCTTAGGTTAAAAGGAAAAAAGAAAAAAATATCCTCCTCTAGTGGCAGAAGGCGGAAGAGCAGCTTCCCATTAGTTTCTATGGATGAAAAGATCCGATACGGATTAAATGGTTTTCAATGCATTCCTATGGGAAATGCAGATTCGACTTAAGAACTTTTCGACCTGAGAACTGCCTTCCAATACGGATTAAGTTCGTAAGTCGAGACCCCACTGTATACAAAAATCCGAAGACTCCTAGCCCATGAATGAATTAACAGATTTCAACGTTACTAAATCAGATATATAAGATTACACCAATCAAATTCTCATTCTCAAATAGACATTCACAATCAAATTCTCATTCTCAAATAGACATCCAAGTATGTCACTTCGCAAAATAAGTAACATTCTGGACTTGAAGCAAAATTTGATGACTTCGAGCCAAATTTTCTCCAGATGAATTATCTTTTTTCAAATTTGTTCCTACAACCTCTTGTGATGTCACGAGTTTCTCCAGATACAAGAACATACTGACAGACAAGAGAAGGAGTTTTGAGTTTGATAACCAAATTTATATTTATTGCTTGTGGTAGTTTTTAAATCTTCCACTTCATGCACGTTTCTCATTACTTAAAAGTGATAAGTCTTTCAACAGCAAATGTACAAATAGAATTTTGGGATGTCTTTTAATCAGTAGTTTATAAACAGACAAGATAAGTACAAAATCATTTTACTGTCCATTGTGGTGTTGTTTCTAAAATATTCAGAAAGTATGCTGTGGATATATTTTCTCTCTTCTAATTTTACTTTCTAATTTTTACATCACTTCAGCAAATTTAAATTATACTCAATGTAATACTAATTTTAAGACTAGAGATTACAGAACTGCAGAACTGAAAGACTTCTAGATGCTTTCCTTGTCCTGGCTCAGTCGAGTAGCCAACTCTACCAGAGTCCGTGTGGGCCGTCCTGCCATGCCTTTACGAAGGTATGGAACTTCATCTTTATTTGCCATCACACCAGCAATATCTAAATGAGCCCAATGGGGGACAGTGACAAATTCTTTCAGGAATGCAGCAGCTGTGCATGCACCACCAGATCTGAGGGAAAAGTAAAATACGAGTAATGGATTATTTTATTATTTTTGTTATTGTTTACTTATAACAAGAACTATATCCCAAGCTGTACAGCAGATTCAGGTCAGAGATCACACCAAACCATGGTTTGCATTAGCTAGAATTTAAAATAAAAACCAAGATTTAAGCTTTCTTTCTTTCTTTTTAAAATATTAATTTTTAAACTACTAGGAATAGGATAGGGAGTACAAAAGGTAAAAGGAATTGGGGGGAAGGGAAAAAATTGAAGATGGGAGAACACAGAATATATACCGTATTTTTTGCACCATAAGACACACTTTTTCTCCCAAAAACATTGGGGGAAAATGTGTATGCGTCTTATGGAGCGAATACTGTCCCCTCCCCGCCACCATCACTGGCTTCTGAGGCCTCCGGAGGCCTCCAAAGGCCCCACGGGGGGCCCCCTCGCCGGCTTCTGAGGCCTCCG